GTGGGTGTCTGTTCATAAGTGGTAGCGTCCGATAACTGTCGTAGTCCTTCAGCGATGTAGAGGTCTTTTTGCCATACGACTGTAGCACCTCCCTTGTCAGCAGGTTTAATAATCAGATTGTGGTTGTTTTTCAGAGAGCGCAATGCATTTAGTTCTCCACGGCTGAGGTTCTTGCTTCTGACATGGCGTTTCAGATTTAAATTATTGATGTCATGACGGCATTTGTTGATGTACAGATCCAAAGCAGCGAATTTTCCTAGAGGTGGAGTCCAATTGGAGTTATTGGAAACTAGGCAAGTGAATTCATCCGTTTTATTAGTTAGAGTGTCCTGGTTATGAAAGTGTGCTTTAAGTCGCAGTTTACGGTAGTACTGTTCCAGATCATACTTAACTTGAAATTCATCAATAGTCTCGCGTTTAGGAACAAATGACAGACCTTTAGAGAGCACAGACCTTTCTTCAGCAGTTAGTTCAAGATCCGATGGAATGGTCACAACTAGCTTAGATGTATCAGGTGAGGTGTTAGTAGCGGTAGACGACTTCCTTGCACGTTTCAGCTTATCGAGTTTAGTTTTCTTAGCAGTGGTAAGACAGTCATAATATTTTCTGTTCAGCATCTGTCTCTTATACACATGCTCAAATCTCGAAGCAAAGGCCGTTGTGTAGCGGTCTCGTTTGTATAATACACTAAACTTTTCGTGTCGCGCGGGTTTGTTCTTGTCTAGTCTTTCCTTGATTGCTTGCGCTCAGAGGTATTTGAATGTTTGTAAATAAACTAACAATAAACTAAAATTTTCGTGTCGAGCGAGTCGTTCTTGTCTAGTCTTGTCTTGATTGCTTGTGGTCAGTTCGTACGTTTGTATGATAAACTAAACATTTCGTGTCGAGAGAGTTGTTCCAGTTTAGTTTTTTCTTGATTGCTTGCCATCGGATACTACTACTACATTTAAAACATATTTTAAGGGGAATTCTTTTGTCGTCTGAGGTTCTCATTAACATTTTCAAATTTTACCTTTAGGAACAGTATTTTTATTATGGAACTGTTTTCACCCTCTTCATTGTCTTATGTTCCCCATGGCAACCCTTTCACCAGGATTTTTAAAGAATGGTGAAATTTCAGAAAATGTCCTCAAAATTTTAAGGGTGGTGCACAAAATTGTAAAGGGTGGATACAAACAATTGTTATTTTAGTGCATAGCAAGTGACACGCTAAGTCTGTTAATATTAACCTTGCATTTGCATTAATATTTTTTTTGAAGCGTGGTTCCAATATTTTAAGCATGGCGTATAATTTGCCTTTTTAATGTTTTTATTTAAATTATGTTGTTTCTGTGAGTATCCTACGTGAAAAGATATGTTTATCTGCCATTAAAGAGCCTAGTTAATCGTTTTTCATATTATTAATTTATTTACATATATTCTTGTTATAATAATCATTTACTATAAATATTGTTTAACATTTACGGAAATAAATGTTGTTTAATGAATGAATAATTATTCAAATCCACTTGCACTTGACAAAAACAACTAGGCATCAGTTATTATTTTTAATGGTGTCTACCACATATTTCTTCTTCAATTATATACAGATACTAAATAAAATCTATAAAAGTATATTTATTCTGTTTGTTTTCAACGTAGTACTATCAGATTGTTTTGAAAGCTTAATGCAGTCACTATAACAATATTCGAATTTCACAAATTTCGACTTCTGGAGGAATTTAAAATCCACCCACTCCTGTGTTGGAACCCATTATTATTTCTTTATACAAGCACTTTACACATATACCTATAGCCCTCCCCCCACCTAACCAAAACTTCTGGATCCGCCCCTGCCACCCCGCCCAGTAAACGGAAAGCTGAATATTCATAGATTCTTCTCATATAAAATATATGAATTCCCATTAAATGAAAAAAAAAAATCACAATCAAAACACTAATTTCAATATGAAT